TTGCCCATTGCTGTTCCGGCCAATTCTGGCTCCTCGCAATCGTCTCAAATCTGTGGAGGTACGCGTCTAGGTCGTCCTTCCTTTCATCAAACGCTACGAGCAGCTTGCTTGGGTTCAAGCGGAAGCCGTGATCTTCCCGTTCGCTGCTTTCAACTCTAGCTTGGACGGGAGTTTCGCTTCGCTGTTGCAAACGGAGCCGCTCGAGTTCCATCTCGTGCTGACGCTGCCGTTCCCTTTCCTCTCTTTCTTCTTTCTGCTGGCGCTCCCTCGCTTCTCTTTCTTCTCTCGCCCTTTCGGCTGCCAACTTCTCTCTCTCCAGCTCCAACTTCAATTGCTGCTCTCTTTCTTCTTTCAGCTGTCGCTCCTTTGCCTCTCTTTCTTCTCTAGCCCTCTCAGCGGCCAGCTTTTCTTTCTCCAGCTCTAACTTCAATTGTTGCTCTCTTTCTTCCTTCGCCCTCTCTGCTGCCAACCTCTCTCGTTCCAACTCAGCTGCTTTTTCTTCCTTGGCCCTCTCTGCCGCCAACCTCTCTCTCTCCACCTCAGCTTCTTTTTCCGCTTTGGCTCTTTCGACCGCCAACCTCTCTTTTTCCAGCTCGGCTGCTTTTTCTTCTTTGGCTCTCTCTTTTTCTTCTTTTTCCTTCTGGGTGACCCACTTCCGTAGTTCGGCGCCAGAAAGACCCATCTTTTCACCAAGCGCAACTAACTTTTCGAGATCCATTGTGTCTCGCAAATAAAACCTTGCCACGTTTAAAAAGTATCTGCCTAAATCAGTCTATCGGAACACTCCCCTGCACTCGTTAACGAGAACACTGAACAACACACAAAATCGTTCCGATAGCACTATCAACAACTCGAGGCTCTTTCTCACTACTTTGGACACACTGTGCACCAAAAGGTCCTGTCGCGGACGCCAGATTAATTGTCACACCTGTCCCGTTTATTAGGGAGGCGATCGCCGGGCTAATTCCAAGAGCCGAAGTATCGGCCCCCCGAACCGCACCACGAAAGCGTGGACAATTTAGAAGTGGTCCTTTTTGGCGCGCCAGCGGACGCCGGCTGTGGCCCAAAAAACAAGTCAGAGCCGAGAGTTGATAAACAAACAAATTATATTCTCAATATTGGCAGATCGAAAATAATACACACGTATGCACACTCCACAATAGTTACATACAATACGTCACCAAACAGACAATGTACTACACAGTACAATCAACCACACTTGAAACAACGGACACAGACAACAATACGCACTACAATGCAGTCACATGCATTGAACAACCAAGACACTTAAAGACTAAAGAGATATAAAACCTATTCAGTCCAAAGTCCTTGGAACAAAAGTCTGAATGATACTCTTCCGAGAATCACTCACTCAAAGTCCAGCGTTGTTGTCGTTCCGCAGCTCTCGAAGTTCTCTTCCAGGAAACCTCCCGTCTTCAATTGGCCACTCTTCAAACTTCAACTTCTTCGCCGGAACACGTCGGCTTCACACTCGCAGCGGTTGCCACGGGTCTTCGCTCGATAGCGGTAAACACACACTCTTGCCTGTAGCTCGAGCCGTCCCTACGGACCACAAACTTCGCCGACTCTACGGCGGACTCTCTACGCACTCTGGCGCTCACTTCCGTCTCCTCCTGTTCTGTCACTACGGGAAGAACCTTCGCCGACTCCACGGCGGAATCCCTACGCGCTCCGGCGCTAACTTTCCGTCTACTCCTGATTTCTCGTCTCGGCCGCTCGGTTAAATACCTTGCGCGCGACATTCCAGATGTTTCTTGTCGTTTCGTCGGCGCGATGCGCAGCGAAGGCTGGGGAGAGGCACGAGACGGTTCGACTGCCCTCTCCCGAGGATGATTCACTCGGTCTGACCCCGCCTCCTTCGTTCTAGAAAAATCGCGGTCTTGCTGGGCCGCCGATGTGGGGTGAGGAGGATCGTCTGCGAAGCCGTGCTTCTGCGGGGAGAGCGCGCGCCCGGGAGCCCTGGATGTTGGCTTTCTTTTTTTTTTCTTTTTACCTCGCGGCGTTTCTGCCGCCCGTTGTCGCAAGGATTTGGCGGCGCGCTCTTGTTTAGCGCTCGTTCTGTGACACATGCCTGCCTAAGGCAAGTTTCACAGCAAGTCTCAAGCACCGGCGTAACTAAGTGGAACAATACTGAGCAAGCGCCCAGTGGATTCGGGTCGGAGCCCCACTGTGGCATTGGTGCTAGGTTTGTTTTCTCTAATATCGTGAGATGTAGTAACGGACACCGGCGGCGGCGGCGGTGGCGGACAAATGCGCGTGACCCGAGTTCTGATCTCATAATATCTTATGCTGTAAAAGCGCGCATAACCTGCTTAAACCGCCCTTACGGGCTTACTTCCGTTTACAATATACTATAAAAGTCATTTTTAGTAAGAGTCACTAAAATGAATGGTCGAAGAGATTAAAATAAAAGAAGCTGTACGATTCAAGATACTTATGAAGCCTTGTATCACATGTCACTTTCGCGTTACAGAAAATTATAGTGTGAAGGCTCATCGCGGTATAAACAAACACTGCTTCTAATTGGTATCATGACTGCCTGTACTCTTAGCTCGCCCATCATTATAGTCACCCTATAAATCCGCTTAAAGCAAGCAAAAGATGGAATACGCATTCCTGTCGCATAATGCATAGGTTTGTCCAATACAGCAACCGCATCTCTTCCGCAAAGTTTATTTCCTTTTCGATCATCATCATACGACTGTTGAAAGCGCTGACTGTATTATAAAATTTTATTGAGATCGTACTTCCTGTCTTCTGAACATTCATGCATGGCATACGTGATACGTGTACCTGATTGACGTTTCGTCAGAACGATAAAAAATAAAATGGGCATAAGCAGGGATAAAACAACCTCAAACTAGTAAGAAGAATAATGGATGTTCTAAACGTTCGGAAGGTAACTTGGCGTATAAGAATATTATACATCATCAAATATTTTCTTTTTATACACATTAAAGCTGAAAAAGTGGTCCTAGTTCTTTCTTGTTATCTTCGCCTTATAGGATAAGGAGCATTTCCCAATATCTTCGCTGGAGGGGATTCAGGTTGTTTAGGTTATTTAGGAGGACATAAACATGCGCTTTTTTCTGTCGTTTTCTGTCTGTGTACTGTTTGTTTGCGTACTCAAGCTTTCACAGTGCACGAGTCTTTGATCGCGCTAGAAATAAATGAACTCGTGAAAGTGAATTCATTTCTTTAAAAAAACACTTTTATTTTCATGAACCCAGCACTTTAAAATCACTGAATTATTATTTGGTAAGTTTTCCTATTTTTTTAGTTTTTTGCCGTTAACGTTCTCTTCAAAAAAAAACGTACTCTTTGATTGGCTTTTTTTAAACGCTAGTTAACAATTGCCAATCACAACAGTCACACGTTCGTTTGCGGTTTGAGAACAAAAAGCGACGTCATGCGACCAAGGACCTCATGGGACGTCTACCAATCGACACACGGAATCTATTTCTGTTCATATTGCTATTGCCCGGGAAAATAAACTGGTATCCTGTTTATGTACTTCTGATTGATTCGGAAGTTTTCAACTGCTACCGCATGTTTTAAATGTTGAATTACGAGTGACTAATCTAAAGCAGTTGTTTTGAGACTAAAGGTCATTTCCGACTTGTCTCATTTGGACCAACCCTGTCGCGGCACGTGTGGTCGTCGTAGGCGTGAACGAGCCTTTACGAGCCAAGCACCACGAGGTTATTCTCATTGGCCTCAACGATTGTTCTCTGCGCTAAGAATAGCCTGGCTTTAACAGTCCACCTTTTCGAAGCTCTTAGGTCTCATAACCTATGTTTGCGCGCCTTGTCACCTGATATCGACAACAGTCACGATAAGCGTTGTTGTCCAATGGAAGTGGAATCACTCGCGGCTGCTAACAGCTGCGTGGTAACATTGGCGTCAAGGTGCCCTGTTTTTCTGTAACGCTTTAATCTTTTGACCGTGAGTGAAGTCCGTGTTTCTGCAAAGAATTTCGCACATCATACAAAATTTAAGCATGAAAGAGTGCACAAACCTGAAAGGACCAGTACTTATTAATGTGCACGTGTCACTACCTACTGAAATGGGTAAAAGATGTGACGCTGTTGTTTGTGTTAGTACCTCCAAACGGTGCACATGTGCGAAACGTACATGCGCCCAAATGCTTATGTTTGTTGTGGTATGAGCTTTGGTCACGTGGAGTAATTTCTAAAACTGAAGAGCTGTTGTTGCTTTGTATAACTTGAGACACCGTGCATGAGAGGAGTCTGCAAGTGCTACGCCTTTAAAAAAGAATTAATATCTGAGAAGAATTAGGAGAAAATTATTCGGGAATTGAAGTTGTGTGTAAAAGTATTGAAAAATTCGTAGGTTTGTCACGAAATGAGACTCCAATTTCTTTTTGACCGCTTAAGGTTCATCGATAGGCACACACAGCTGCACTAAGATGTTAACAGTACCCTTAAAGCATTCACTACATGACACTACGTGTTGACAAAAATGCGGAGCTTCCTCATATTCACACAGGAAATATATTTTAATCTTCGAACTAACTCTGATCAGACTCGCTAAATATTATTTCTCAGCTTGGCCTAATTAGAGTCGAGCTCACCAAACTTGACTAAGGCTCACTTTGAATCAAGCTCACACCTCGCTATCTGAGCCAGTTGACGTAACGCTTAGGAGTAACTTACATTTTTATGAGTGAGTTGCCGGCCAGTGCGTTGCACTAATATGAATTTGTGATCCAAGAAATTTGTTTGGACCCCATATATTAGTGCGCATCACATCGAATAACCCAATTGTAAATTGTCCTAATAGAAGCGTCAGCAGCACTTCCAAATTAGAATGGTATAGTACAATGTGGAAACTGGTTTGAGAAACAGTGTAAATTGCGAGTACGCGGCTGCATGTTACTCATTTCCTGACAGAAAGAGCATAATGAGCCTATAGTGGGATAATACTGTGTAGAGTAACAGAACAATATAAACTTTAAATTCATTGTACCAACCATCTCTTTATTTCAAGTGATCAAATACGATTCTTTTTGAGAATCACTTTTAAACCCTATTTTTAGTTGCTGTCAAGCGGTGGCGTTCGATATCCCATCTAACAAACAATATTTGGCGATATCGCTTGCTGACTTGACGTTATGTTTAGCCTTTGTTCAGCTTCTTCTGCACAACGTGTGCGATGGCACCTTGGGCAACGCCACGAATGATGATCGGCCAAATGTGCTCAGAGCCATCTTCACTCAAAACTTCACCATTGGCGGACGCAACCTTAAGGACTTTGATCAAGTCTTCCTGCACCTCATCGGTCAAGGCGACGTCCTCGCCCTGTAATAGTCGCCCCACGATTTCCAGGGTTTTTCCAGTCTTTTCGAGCACTTCCGTCTCAGCCTCTGCAGAAAAGGTGGGAGGTATGAAAAATGTATCAGTCAAATGGGAACACTGCTTCTGTAAATTCTGTCTATACAAAAATCGAAACGTTTCCATTCAAATTACCAGGCTCTGGAAACGTTTATGAGAAGATATAATTAAAATTGATACCTAAAAGCTTGTGTTTGATGCAAAGAAATTCAAATTAGAAACATCACTTTGAGAGAAGTGCACAAAAGAGGGCAGAAAAATTAATTCGACCCATTGGCAAGTGGCTTTTTCTTTCATGGCATAGCACATTGGATGGTAAAAGATACTCAACTTGTTTGAAAGTTTTGTGAACTGAAACGGTGCGCACATACACTGGTTTTTCGCATGCAGTTATGATTTTTATTACAATTTACATGTTAAGTGTCACGTTGACATCTGCTTTCTTTGTTTCGTCTCAACCAACTCGCATCAGGTTGTACTCTAAGCCTTTGGTGGAACTATTGCAACGACCCATTTCAGCAACCCTATTTGAGCTAAAGCTTTATAAAATAAAATGAAAATCTATACAGCCACAAAAATATAAAACACTCACCTTTTGAAAAAACAGGCCTGTGATTGGTCACCTGTGGTTGACTGTATTTTTAGAAAGACAAATGCAAAAATAGTTTTTTGTGTGTTAGTGTACTCATGCTTCGTTGAGCGTCAAATCAGCAATATCACAAGTACTTACATTGTTGCGCCATCTTCATCCAACATGAAGAAAAAGAAAAATAGGATTACCTATTAGCATCGTAAACTTTCAAAATCAATGAAACAGAAAACAACGAAGAAAATAGCAGGAGTGGGTACGTTATGCATACCGGCATAGTTTTGCACACTTACGCTTGCGGGGTAAGAAAGAAGAATATAAATATCAGAACCATGATTTTGCAAATAAGTTTCCAAGATTTCAAGGATGGGCAAAAAAAGGTCAGCTGTATGCTGATAAATGTGTGGAATGAATATCGCGTTATGCGTAGTATAGCTGAAAAGCAATAAAAAAATCTAAAATGTGCTATTAAGGCATAGATATCAAAACATATAGACAGATAATTTGCTTAAAGATCAAAACTTTTTTTTTACTTTTTTACATAAATGTAGTCAATATAAGTTTACTTTCCTTCTCATGACCTAGGAAAAGGGTTGAACTTGGTAAAATTATTAGGCACCACATTATTCTATCCCTTTATGCGTGAGTCACGTCTTGAATACACTGTTTTTCTATTTGTTTTTTATTTTAGCCTACGCATGTCACATGAAATGTACATTTGAAAAGGTTTCACACTTACAGCATACGGCGATGAGGGAAATGAGGGTAATCCACAGGCAAGCTTTCATTGTTGAAAAGTCTGCATAACAGCGCAAGAGAACGTGTTGCATTTGTGACTCCGTAAAACGGTAAAACAGATCGTATTTTCTACTTATGAAGCCCTTAGATATGTAGTTCAAATATCAAGCGTCTAGAATAAAGTTTCCTATTTAAGTGAGAGGTACACACCTTGAGAAAAAGGCCAACACTTACTTTTTTCTCAGTTGTGGTAGGGGAACAGCTCTTGCTTCACAAATATTTGACCGGTCTTATATACTCAGCCAAGAGAGGTGATATGGCAAGCAGCACAAAACGGTGCCTTGGGTTTTCCCCATCTCTAATGCTCCGATCAGTGGAATGTGCGAAACGCATTGTCTACCTTCCGGATGTACGATATCGAGACGGTGACGCGTTGCAGAAGTGTGCACAAGCGTAAAACAATGGGCTTGTCAGCACTTAATGCAGCTATTTTTTATCATCAATTGGTTTACCTAGGGGGCAGATTCACAGTCACGCTATACCAGGCAGTCCTATTAACTCAGTAGGCCTGTACAATTTTTTCCTCAAAATCCAAAAAGGCATTCTTGTTCAGTGATATGCACTGAGAATATTGTAACGTCTTTGCAGAGTCTAGATACTTTTATGTTTTTATTAGGCGCCCTACTTTTTTTGGTCATCACGTTATGATATTGCATGAGGTTTCACGGGTGAAATGATGTGCTTATGAGTCGAACCGCAGCGGAGTGCTCCAGAAGCTGCAACCATTTGGTGTTCGCGAATGTCTCCTACAACACTCGCCATAAGCAGTTAGCTTCCAACAAATGTGGCCACCACGTCCCGGCCAAAACCTACTACTTTCGTGTCAGCCTTCGACAACTGTTATCGCTGTGCCAGCGGTATGAACATGCAATACTTTAACTAAACGCAAAATGATTTCCACCATTTAAATTTCCAACAATAGATATTTAGGCAGGACTACTTTTGTTCTTACTTACCAGGTTCTGTCTTCTAACACTACCAAGATGCACAAAAGCTAACAAGTTTTAGGGGCACAATCATAATCCAGCAGTGATTGCAAACAACCTACGGATAATATCACGGAATTGTTGAAGAGTACAGACACTCGAACGGGAGCATTATATTTAGCTCATATATGTCTTTGAAGCTTTCACACTTTATCTCCACAAAAACTGACTCGCTACACTCGAATCACAAAGTCACCACACACACTGGTATTGAGGATGTTGACACTGCTTAAGCCAATCAGGCTTTACAACCCAACCTCAAATAATGGGATCGACTGGACAGTTGAAACTACTGAAATGAAACTACTAGAAAATGATAGTCCTTTCAGGTTCAACTAAGTGGGACAGCTTATAGCCAAATTCAAACACATGAACCGTAATAAATGCGAAGCGTTTCTTAGCGAATTTCTGCAACTTCGAGCGTACAATCTATCTATCTATCTATCTATCTATCTATCTATCTATCTATCTATCTATCTATCTATCTATCTATCTATCTATCTATCTGTCTATCTATCTATCTATCTATCTATCTATCTATCTATCTGTCTGTCTGTCTGTCTGTCTGTCTGTCTGTCTGTCTGTCTGTCTAGCCGCCTATGACATTAGCTTGCTTGGCCATTTCTATGATAGGATCTATACCAAAATCGGTATGACATATACCATTACTGCATGGCGAGCATAAGAGCCTAGTCATAACAGGAAAATGATGACTTTTATGTTATTAATCTCATGAAATATATGTCACGGTTTTGCTGCTCTTGCGGTGGTTTCGTTCATATGATATATTGTAAAACTGGTATGGTGTGACATGACTGCGTGGGAAACAAAAGTGACAGGCTCTAAAGTGAAGAGTATGACATGCATGTCTTGTAAGTCATGACAAGACACCATACGCTTATGCTGCGCTCGTGGCCGCTTCACTAGCTTCACATATACCAAATTTGGTAATACGTGACGTGAATGGATTAAAACATTTTATGACCAGTGCAAACATGATATACATGTTGTGCGTGTCATGTAAAGCATGACTACATGCCACACTCATAGTGCTCATGGCCATTTCGTTAGCTTCACAGATGCCAAGCTTGGTATTATGTGGCATGAATGGATGATGATGGTATCTGATTGGTGCAAAGATGATATTCATGACATGCGTGTCATGTATGAACATGCATACATGTCCGCTTATGGCACGCTCATGGCCGTTTCGCTAGCTTCACATATGCTGAGTTTAGTATTTCGTGACGCGAATAGACGTCGAAGAAAATGACACACCAAACATGATAATCATGATAATCGTGTCATGTAAGATATTAACATTTGCTACGCTCACAGCGCGCTCGTGGTCATTCCGCTAGCTTCAGATAAACCAGATTCGGTATTACATGATCTGATTGGACGACGAACGCAAATGCCAAGCTCAAAAAATGATAAGCTTGATGTAGAAGTCATGTACGGCATACTTTACATGCGTGCCACATCTGCGGCTCGTATTTCAAACTTTAGTGGTGCAGTCGTTACGGGAATATAAATACCATAATTCCACCTTATCTAGATACCCTAGGGCTCATAATATTGCTACTTTTCTTTACTGTTTACTACATTCATGCGTCTCGTAGCGTTGTGCTGATTTTAAAGTGACATACCAACCTTCCTCATTTGTGCTTAGTTTATCGATTGCCACGTTGCGTGGGATCCGCAATTTTTTTTCCCAGGCCGCTGGGGTTGATATCTTGCCGCAGCTGAAGTTTCATATCTCGCCACAGCTGAACTTGCATGATCGGAAATAGTTCTGTTGGCACCTAGTGTTTGCAGGAAGTAAACAAAAAATTGTTTCACGCTCCTCTTAACTACAATGCGCACTTCAAAAAAAAAACGCCATCATCAAATGTGTCGTGCCATTGACAACCCTTAGCAAAAAGCAGACGATCTATGCGTTTTACATGCGCTCCTAAGCAACAATTTGACGCAAAAATGACGAACTGAACAAACAAAACAGGAACATGGGCGTCATGTAGAGTATTCATTTTCATGTCACCTATACAAAAACTAAGTCTTGTATCCTCTGGAAACGACAAATATCTGCTAACAACTATACTATCTTGTTAGGCACAGGAAGCAGGATAGTTCAATGTTTATTGTCAGACGTCCCGCCCGTGCCGACTATTGATTTTTCACAAGACAGCCCTGTGCAATTCGTTTTCTCTGCGCGCAGATAGTGATACGAGAGTTTCCCGGTGACCGCGAGAATGGCATGCCTGCGGGGCAGCCATCTTTTCCAAATGATTTTCTCTCACATTTCCTCGAATTGAGAGGTACAAACGAGATTGAAGAAGTTTCACCGATGTAAACCTTAAAATGGTCTCTGCACCTATTCCTCGTTCCGTTCAAAGCAGAACAGGGTGGCCATGGACGAGCACAGGAACAGGACGAGTTTTGTTCTTGGCGTCAGAACGTCGTTGCCCGCAAAAATCTAGCATGGCCGATGATCAAAATGGAAGGCATTGTTGCTTCGTCTGAGATGTTGAGATTGCACTTTGTATGTTGCGTTTTTGACTGAGTGCGGCACGCAGCAGTTACGTTCTTCGTTACCTTTGCGTGCTTTTTTTCTCTACAATTTCTTCATATGAGCCATTTTCTCTCAGTATTTTGAGCGTGTGCACACGCTATTTCCGCTGGGCCTACTGCTATCAACACACGTGTAAAGTTGGTCTCTTGTGTTACAGGAGGCTGTCCTAGTTTTGGGCATTTGAACTTAGGTATGGGCGATGTGTTCGTTTCCTTTTTATCTCTTTGTTGAGACTTTACATCGAAAAGCTGCTCCTCGCACGAACATTCTGGGTAAGCGAGTTTGGTACTCGCACTTAGAAGAGTTGTTTTGCTGGAAAAATGAGGTGAACGGGCGGCCAATGCAGCAAACTCACTGAGAAGATAACTCGGCGCGGGCAAATAGTCTTGAAAGGGGACACTTTCGTGCGCAGGTTAGTTGTGAATATAGCTTCACTCGGGTTCTACCACCGCGTACAATTTTTTTATAGTTTGATGATGCTTTGTAATGCCAAAGGTGCCCGCACACCTAAAATGTAACCTGAAATTCTCTTAGGTCCAACACGCATCAGGCGCGTTTTACAGGGGTATATTAGACTATCAAAGTATTCATGCCGGCACTGTAAACGGCATTCTAGCAACGACAGCAACATGTTTGTCCGTTTAGATTATTGAGGCTAAATTACGTATATTTTAGGGGCGAAGCGCCTTGAGGCTCAGACTTCCGCGTTTTATGTTGTTCATTGGCCGGCACAGCACGACACAGCACATGCAAGGTACCCACTATACGCCGACCGCAACTTTCATCAAGGAGCAAAGTAAGCACTATGCCACTATGTCAGTCGTCATTCCGCCATTAGTTGAGGAGCCCAATACACATCTGTAAAGCATATTTGCACACTGTTTGGGCTCTATCTGATGACAATAAAGAATAGACACGTTCAGGAGTTATTGTTTTTTTTTGCCGATCCCCCAGCGGGGGTGTGAGACACACCTATGCCGTCATCGTCATTATCTCATAACCAATTTATAGGTAATCCCACTGAATTTGAATGAGCCTTGGTGGACGCATCATTATTATTATCATCATCATCCAGACCCCTTTTTTGACCACAGGTGAAAACGAACGTGAGCGCGCTCTCGCGCTCGAAAGGTAATGCTGACTCAGAGAACGAGCTAGCTCGGACGCGATCGTTCGGGAAGTAGCAGTAACGCGGCAACGTGTACAAGCAATTTTTCCGGTGGTACAAGCGTGGCATGCGGCGGCTCAACATTTACGCCGACTGCGAGCCACGCCGATCGTTGGGAAGCAGCGTCGAAGTGGCGCCAACGAAAAAAGAATTTGCAAGACATAAGAATGGAGGGGGGGGGGTGCCACTGCCGCAGTTCCGCACCACGGATATTGACTGCATAGAGCCTTGGTTGCGCGAGAAATACAGACAAGCGTCGGAGCAACGCAGTCTTCGTGAGGACAAAATTGTATTTGCTGTTAACTTATAAACGTACCGTTCTGATTAATAAGCTAAGTCATTTTAAAAATACTGTTCAGTTGTTAAATTCGAGGCTCTGACTTACTAATGATGGAAGTTTGAAAAACAGCTCGTGTGTAAAACGTTTTCCATGTTTGGAAAAGCATGCCACTGCATTCTCATTTCATTTGGTGCAAAAGGCATTGAATTATATAACCATTTCATTCAGGCGTCACGAATATACGGAATTCTTCTGGAGTCACTTTCATTC